TGTAAATTGTTTGATGCAAGTGCAAAAAGGTGGTTTCTAAATTAATAAAAAATAGTATTTTTAGTACTGGCTAGAATTTTTTTTAAAAAAATGTAACCATTCGTCTGTTTTAATATCAGCAGACATTTGGAATTCTTTGATACCACTAGAATGGTGTTAAAAATAATGGCTGCAATCCTATCATGCCTGTGCACAAAGCATTTCCGTGTATATATGGGGAAACATCCCATTTTTTTGTTCTGGCTGTAGCCTCTCTATTGAATGTTTCTTGGGAGGCTCTCCACCTTCAATATTATTGTTTTTAGGAGCCACAAACATGCCAATTCCCTATCAAATCTTCCCTTTACCTATGCCTATCACATTGCTACATAGTTCAGTTGGCACTGTGCAGCTTACCTGTGGTACCCCTGAAAACACACACATGCATACACAGGGAGAGCCTTGTTCCCGGGCAGGATCAGTGCTTCTGATCTTACAAAATTCCAGCAATCAGAAACTGGCTAATGGTGTTGCATGTTGCAGCACATTGGAACAATTTGTATAAAAATGGCACACCATTGCAGCCAGTTAATAAACCTTCCAGATCAGGGATGCAGTTTTAGTTGCCTGCAGTCAGAGACAGTTGATGCTTTATTATTATTATTATATTTTAAATAATGCCCCCCTTCTGCTCTTGTATCATAATCCAACTTCCCTTTTGTTATCAGCAAAACGGGAAGAAGAAATGCATGCCCTCATAATTGTAAATGCCCGTGACATTTATATACATGTTTCCTTGATTGTGATACATGGACTTAAATTTTAGTTCATAAATTACAGTTTAGGCTGGAATCATTAATTGTTAACGCCTTTATGATAATGTATAGTCCTCTGTGTACCTAGGACTTCTAATACATTTTTAATGGACCACTAATCCTTAAGATAAAAGCTTAGGAACGTAACCTCCAGCCATCTCAGCATGTCACCAAGCTGTCAGAGGCCTTTCTTGCTATCTAATTGCCATTGGGAAGGGCAGGGATGGCGAGACCCTCTCGCTGCTGCTTTCAAAATATGCTGTGGAAGAGACCACCGCTATGTTCCCCAAGGCAACTGTTGGACTGGGTTTCCTTGACTTCTTTCCCATCCAAATTCTGTTACAAGCTGAATGGCTTCAGCAATTGCAAGATCAGCTCATCTCTGGGGTGGGTGACACCCGACTATTTGGACATATATAGCCTATCTGGAGAAGCATCTCCAGAAGCTAGGGGTGCAGGGAGACTCAAAAGTGTTCTTAGAATGGCTAAACCCAAACAAAACACTGTTACAGCTGTTATTCCTTCACCCACCCCACAAACATTTCAAACAGCATGGAACCCAAAGGCTTTGAGAATTTAGTTAAGTGCCTCAAAATAGCATCCTCTCTATGGGCTGATGGAGATTTTTTTAAAATTGCAGATTCCTAGGGCAGCTTACCAAAAGTCAGAATTATAGTAAAGCAAATTGAAAGGAAAACATTAAAACGCCACAGAATAAAACAGCAGCATTAAAGCAATCAGCAGAATAAATCAACCCAACACTAAAGTACAGAGGATTAGTAAGCTCTGGATAACAAAAAGGTTTCAACCTGGCCCCAAAATGTTATTAAGATAGGTGGAGAAACCTGAAGAAGGGCCTCTGTTGAAAATATAAGTGTGTGGAGACAAGCAGCTTTTTAGATGTCAGAGCCAAGCTGTGAAGGGCTTGGAAAGTAAAAAACAAAGAAACACAGCACTTTTGAACTGAACCCACAAACAATCTGAAAGCCAGTGTAGTTGGTGGATCACAGATTTAATGTGATCAGAACATCTGGTCAGAGTTAACAGCTTCACCACTGTAATTTGGACTAAATGCAGTTTCTGAACTGCCTTCAAAAGCAATCCCATGTACAAAGCACTGCAGTGGCCTAACCTGGAGGTTACATGGATCACTGAGACCCAGATACTTCCGTTCAGGTAAGTTCACAGTTGGTGCTACAGCAGAAGCTGGTAGAAGATGCTCCATGCCAAGGAGAACAACCTGTATTTCCAGTGACAAAGATGGTCCTTTGAGGGGATGGTCCTCTGCTCCCAAGGCATTTATAGTCTAAAAATATCCATATTGCTTAGTTAATTTGAATACTGTCATTTACTTCAGTCATAATTTAACGCCCGTCATTTTTTCACCTCCACTTTCAACAGCCGTGAGAGCTGACCGGATGCGTGGGGGTCGAAACAAGTTTGGACCAATGTACAAGAGGGACAGGGCACTGAAGCAGCAGAAGAAAGCTCTCATCCGAGCAAATGGACTCAAGTTGGAAGCCATGACTCAGGTGATTCAAGCAATGCCCACTGACCTAACAATATCCTCTGCGATCCAGAATATCCATTCTGCCTCCAAGGGCCTACCTCTGAACCATACAGCCTTGCCTCCCACAGACTATGACCGAAGCCCCTTCGTCACCTCTCCCATTAGCATGACAATGCCGCCACATGGCAGCCTGCAAGGCTACCAGACCTACGGTCACTTTCCGAGCCGTGCTATCAAGTCTGAGTACCCCGATCCTTACACTAGCTCCCCTGAGTCGATTATGGGCTACTCTTACATGGATGGTTATCATCAGACAAGCTCGCCAGCAAGTATTCCTCACCTGATACTGGAACTCTTGAAGTGTGAGCCAGACGAGCCACAGGTCCAGGCTAAGATCATGGCCTACTTGCAGCAGGAGCAAGCCAACCGAAGCAAACACGAAAAGCTCAATACCTTTGGGCTTATGTGCAAAATGGCTGACCAAACCCTCTTCTCGATCGTCGAGTGGGCCAGGAGTAGCATCTTCTTCAGAGAACTTAAGGTACGCTACACACTTGTTTTCTATTGCATGACAATGAAATAGAAATATGGTCTGCCGTTTTGCTTGGCGTGACTTACACTCACTCACTACTCTTTGGTCAAATGGCACTGTATAAACTGTGAGCGTGGAGCTGTTCTGCTCATCCGTTATCCTTTCAGCAGAAGGTATAAAAAAAAGTCAGACCTCTATTCTGCAGATTTCCAGATCAACAATTTTTAAGCAGAAGATTCTGTTGAGCCGGAGTGTCTGTCTAAGCAGGGCTACTTGCAGAGTCTACAGCTGTCTAGTACGACACTTGTGGGAGTGGAAGAGAATGTTTGCTGTGGGAGATAGAAGATGCTTTCCCTCTGAAGGCCTTTGGCATATTTGCATGCGCCTCAGAAACAGCAGGGGGATAATGGGGGGTTTTGTGGGGAGAGGGCTAGTGATAATAGAGAAATAGGAAAATGTCAGACCACTGGTAAGATATCTTAGCAGAAGCAGGACTGAGAGAAAGGTATCTACGAATCCCAGGGTTTGTTGTGAGCTATGAATGGCTTCAAGCTTGCTGGAAAAAAAGTATAAACCAGTCACTTGAGCTAATGCCAATCATTCATAAGACCAGATGGAACAAGTATGGGGGAGTCACTGGGCACAGTAACTCCTGGGTAGGGCAGGATACATAAACATGTTGCAAAAAGAACCAAAATGCCTCAGTTTCTGTGGCTCTGTAGAGTTCTGATAAAATGAATATTATTCTGGTTGGCATAGATTCCAGGAGCCTCTCAGCAAAATACTCCAACAACTTGTAGATATCAAAATAACAATGGGTGTGCTATCTGAGAAAGACATGCTGTGCTTTTGAGCACTCCAGAATGCAATGTTTTCAGGACTGGGGAGTACCCTGTGCTTTGCAAGTATCAAATGTGCATTTACTGTGCAAAAAAACTAAACAAACACACACACAACTGCTAGTGTGTAAAGGCCCTCAGAGTTACATTCCTTTAATCTTTAAGAGTGTCAGAGAAAAAGGTCTATTGAAGTTCCTGCCCACAGATAAGCAAAAAGAATAAGAATAAGAAGTCAGTGACAGAACTGAAGTGGTCAGCAGTTGGCTGAGAAGGAGTGGAATCAGTGCAGAACCCTAGAAAGGAAGGAATAATGTGAGATGTGCTGATGGCAGTTTTGAAGGAGACCAGAAAGGGGGTTTGGGGGGCATTTTTGCAATTCACTGAGGATAGGACTAGGAACAATGGAAAGCAGCTTTCTTTTGAGCATTAGAAAACAACAATAAACAACAGTCGCTCCCCTGTGGAAGCAGGTGTCCTGAGAAGTTGTGGAATGTTCTTTCTGAGAGACTTTCAGTGGAAGTTGGAAAATGTTTCTGCCAGATATTGTTCACATATAGCACAACCTGCCCTAGGGAAAAGGACTAGGAGCAGGGGACTCACTCTGATTCTAAAGTCTTCCATTCACAAGTGTTACTGAGGAGTATGTCACATTTCAAGGGGGAGGACGGGAAAGAGCAGCAGGATTGTGGCAGGCCTTGGCTGATCTCATGAGTTCGCATTTATCTTGCAGTCATTGCTGCTTATTGCCGATATGTAGTTTTCTTGCACAGCATTCCTGCTCCTGAGAGCTGTTCTACACAGATACAGAATTATTATTATTATTAATTCTTGAATTTATATACCGCCCTATACCAGCAGGTCTCAGGGTGGTTCACAGGATAAAATCAGAATATAAAACCACAAAGTACATAATAAAAATAAAAACAACCAAATAACCACCACACATTTTAAAAGGGCATTGGATGTTTTTTGTGTTTGGTGACACATTTAGTATTTTATTTATTTCCAAAGTAGATGAAAAACTATTAAGACATGCTGTTGTTCTTTAGTCGTGTCTGACTCTTCGTGACCCCATGGACCAGAGCACGCCAGGCACTCCTGTCTTCCACTGCCTCCCACAGTTTGATCAAACTCATGCTGGTAGCTTCAAGAACACTATCCAACCATCTCGTCCTCTGTCGTCCCCTTCTCCTTGTGCCCTCCATCTTTCCCAACATCAGGGTCTTTTCCAGGGAGTCTTCTCTTCTCATGAGGTGGGCAAAGTATTGGAGCCTCAGCTTCAGGATCTGTCCTTCCAGTGAGCACTCAGGGCTGATTTCCTTATTAAGACGTTGATGTCTTTTAGTTTAGTTTTGCATATATAGTGCAAATCTAAACTAAAAGACATCAACGTCTTAATAGACAGGTAAAAATAACCAGAAGGACTGAAATCGTGCGCAAGAGGCTGGGAAGCTAGAAAGAGCTCTCCTGGCACCAAAGGGAGAAGAAGGCAGCAGGGAGAGCATTCCATAATTGGGGTGCCACTGCTGAGAAGGCCCTCTCAGACAGCAGGCAACTGCAGAAGGCCCTTTAGTATCTTAAAGCACATATGTTTTCACATGTGAAACAGGCAGTTCTTCAAGAGCTCTAGTCTAACCTGGATGTTGCCAGAGCATGGGTAACCGAGGCAAAGCTATCTCTGTCCAGGGAGAATCACATTGTTCAGAGTGCACATACAAAATGTCCCCCACACACATACACAAATGTTCCTTGCTTGCATGTAGTAAATTAGCTTTGCCCTCTAATATGCTAGTTTACTCTGCATAAAGAGGTTTGTTTATTTTCTTACTCACTCAAGGCCCATGATCCCTCCGCTTACAACTTCAGCTGATTCAATCCAGAGTGATGCCATCTCAGTCTGCACATTCTGCATCACGTGTAGGCCAGCCATTAACCTTTGCTCTTTCAGTTCCATCTCCTCTCTTTATAGTCTCTATATACAGGCTTTTTCTGTTTCCCCTTATTTTCCACAGTTTTCCTTACCATCACAAAATGAGGAAGCTCATCTGTGGGCAACTCGTTTGCATGAAGGGATTCTTCTGTGCATTGCTCTTGAGATAGTAAAGTCACAGGGATTCATTTCTGCCACTTGACAGCATGCTGTCCGTTCCTGAATATGCAGCTGCCGCTGGGGGAAATGTTGTTCCTTCAACCTATACAATACGGTGGTTATCGATAAGGCCCCTGTGTTTATGGGAAGGAAACTGAACATCCCTCTGGAATTGCTGTCGTAGAATTGCCCCTTGTTTAGAAAAGGCATTTACCATACTGCACCAAGACTGCTCATTCTGTTACTGCTACCAGATGGGAGGCCAATGAGAAAATGAAGCAACAGCATGGAGGGCTGCACATTTTAGAAGCGTTCCTAAGGCAGTGCTGCAGCCAAGCTGGCTTTGGACTTAATCAGTCCTAAAATGGTTGATTGCCTGTGAACCCTATGTGTGCTGCTTAGAGTACTTAAGGGGAAGAAAACTCTTTATAAGTGAATAAGGGACATATGTAACAAATATTTACAGAGTTGTTGTTTAGTCGTGTCCGACTCTTTGTGACCCCATGGACCAGAGCACGCCAGGCACTCCTGTCTTCCACTGCCTCCCGTAGTTTGGTCAAACTCAAGTATAGAGGTCTTATTCAGGATGCCAGCCAGTCAGATATGCCCTTTTTACATTACTCCATTCCATCCCCCTTTTTCTCATGCTACCTCCTCCAGCAAACACTAAACATTCCACACACAGTGATTATGCTCAGTCCTCAATGGGCTATTTGTGTGTGCATTGGGAGGTGCCCTTTAAAAAAACCCCAGTGGTGGTTTGTTTGTTTTTTGCACTTTTGCAAACCTTTGGATTTTTCCAAGCCTGCTGGAAATGGCATTCATGGTGCCATTTCCACTCCATAAGAACACACACTCAGAGAATGTGTTCACTGCTAGTTTGGTCTCAAAAGTTTTATTGGGGGAATTCCCATGATTTCAGCCAACCTTAAACACACATGGCTCTGTGAATGTTTAACTTGCATATTTTCATGAGTGTGCAGATGTTCGATGTGTTGTGCCCAAGTCTGTTTTGCTCGGGAACTCATAGCGTGCAATTTATTTAGTGCAAACAATGAAAGAATCGCCATCAAGTTGTAGCATGCACTCTGGTCGTTGTTTTATCTCACGCTATATGCTAGAGGACTTGAGAAAGATATAACAAATTTTGGATGAGAAACCAGAAAAATGTTCTTCTGGGCACTTATAGCCCTCCTTCATTTCAAAGAGACTCGTGCAGGAAAAGTTACTGCAGGATTGCACCCTTATTTCTTGCCTCTCCCTACCGTGACCACATTGTGGTTGAAAAGTGAGTTATACATACCATAAATAAACAAAGCAATAAAATATTACTGGGCATTGAAACACTTAGCAATGTGGATGTGTGGTGTTCGTTAGTTTAGAGCTGCTTCTTAAACAGAACCTCCATGTCTAAGGGGAATCTACTCCTGTCTAACAGATGCAGGGACAAGAGGGTGTGACTGTTCCCTTCCACACCACCCTTGTAAGCTTTCACGAGAGCATTTGGCTGGACACTGTTGGATAATGAACCCTGGTCTCAACATAGCTTTCATAAAATCACAGCATTTTAGCTGGAAGGGACCTTAGAGCTCATCTAGTTCAACCCCTTGATCAACTGATCTGATCTACAGAACTCTTTGTTATTATTTGTGCCTAAAAGTACACCGCTTTATTATGTGGAAGAAATGGTCTTTCAAAGGTTATAAAGGAATTCATAAAAGAACATGAATGCCATGTGTATATTGTACTGAAGCAAAATTAGGAGCCCCTGAGCTAAAGCTGTCTTGCTGAAGAATGCCACCTGGCTCCCAAAAAAGGGAGCAATTGTAATGTGTTATATAATGCTTTTGGAGCACGGAAAGTAATCTGTGTACATCAGTCCCACAGCAAGCATGGCCAGTGGCCAGGGATGATAGGAGCTCTAATTCAGCAACATCTGGAGAGCCAAAAGTTCTCCATGTCTGACATACATAATAATTGCATTGCAGTTATTAAACAGGCCCTGATGCCTGTTTCTTATGCATACAAGAGTTGACAAAATAACAGAATGTTGGGAAGTGGCTAATAATAATAACCTAGCAGTTCGAAAGCATACCAGTGCAAGTAGATAAATAGGTACTGCTGTGGTGGGAAGTTAAAAGGCGTTACCATGTGCTCTGGTTTCGGTCACAGTGTTCTGTTGTGCCAGAAGTCATTTAGTCATGCTGACCACATGACCTGGAAAGCTTGTCTGTGGACAAACGCCGGCTCCCTCAGCCTGAAGCGAGATGAGCGCCGCAACCCCATAGTTGCCTTTGACCTGACTTAACCTTCCAGGGGTTCTTTACCTTTACCTTTTAATCCTAACCCCATTTATCACAGTATAAGCCCCACTGAACTTGGGAGGACTTACTGCTTAGAATTGCACTGTAAGTCTGGATCCAATCCACATATATAGAGTTGTCGTCATGAATGTATTCATTTATACAATTCTATTTGTTTATGTGGTGCCAGGTGAGAGATTTGTTCAGGCCTTTTAGGACTTTAAAATGGTTTTGCTTTGAATGCTGGGTTTTTACAGCCTGCTGTGATCTGTTTGTACATGGTTTTATTGCATTTTTCTCTTTTGTGTGGAAGATGCTCTGGAAGCCGTAGCTGAAGAGCAGCTAACGAATGTTTGAAATAAACAAACAGTGAAGCCTGTGTACATAGCACCTTACAGCGCAAGTCAAAAAGGTGCTTATCTTGATTTCTTGTATTAAGTGGCTAAGAGCTTCTAATTCAAGTTTGGCTATAAAGCAAAAGCAGATGGCGAATAGATACTTCTGTAGCAAATTTATTTATTTTACATCCACCTCCCTTCCATCATAGAACTCAAGGCAGTGTACCCACAGCTGCCAGGCAATCCACAGCCCTCTCAGAAAATGGGATGTAGGAGCAGAGAAAGCTGTCTTGTGCCAAGTCAGGCACTGGTTCATCTAGCTGAAACTGGGACCTTCTGCCTGCAAGATAGATGCTCTGTCACTGAGGCCAAATCAGTGCCACCAAGAGATGCTTTCTGGCACCACGTTGTCAACCTACCAGGGTGAAGGGGAAGCGGAGGAGCAACAAAATTTCTCCCACCTCTTGGTAGAATATTATGTGCAACTAACTTTGCAAGTGGTTAGAAGTACAATCCAGTATGTTGCCTCCAGAAGCAGCCCTAGACACTCAGGTGTCTTGAGGCAACATCCATATTGGCGTTCTATGATGCTAAATGTATCTTAATATCCAAAATAATCAGCATTTTGTTGCCCTTTAATAGTATCCCATGGACGCGGGTGGCGCTGTGGGTTAAACCACAGAGCCAAGGACTTGCCGATCAGAAGGTCGGCGGTTCGAATCCCCGCAACGGGGTGAGCTCCTGTTGCTCGGTCCCTGCTCCTGCCAACCTAGCAGTTCGAAAGCAGGTCAGAGTGCAAGTAGATAAATAGGTACCGCTCCGGCGGGAAGGTAAACGGCGTTTCCGTGTGCTGCTCTGGTTCGCCAGAAGCGGCTGTGTCATGCTGGCCACATGACCCGGATGCTGTATGCCGGCTCCCTCAGCCAATAAAGCGAGATGAGCACTGCAACCCCAGAGTCGGTCACGACTGGACCTAATGGTCAGGGTTCCATTTACCTAATGGTATCCCAAAATCTGCTGCATGGGGTAGTCTGTTTCATCCTGCTGAACAGTTACCATTGTGGTGGGTGGTCATCTGTAACCACCTCACATTCCTTGTCACAACATGGTTCTGGTGTCATTATTGCTAGGACCACATTCCCCCCCCCCTTTTATTGCCACAGTGTAATAAACAGTAGGATTGTACCATTAAGACAGCAAAGCTATTACCCATCCTGGCTGCTATTGTAGTCCAGTAGCATCCAGAGGTGATGGTGAGAGACAGACATACAGATTTCCCTATCCCAGAATAACAAAAGCAGAATAATGTAGCATTTGTGTCAAGGAAACGACAGGTTGAGTAGGTAAATTTAGTAGGAAAACATGTTTGGCCAGATGGACAGACATGCTTTTAGCAAAACTTTTATTTACTTCAGTGTGTTTTCAATGTTGCTCCTAGCAACTGGAAAGATACTAAAAGCTTTCTTCATTGACATGAAGGCAGCAATCCTATGCTTCTGTGTCAAGGAGCAAGTCCGGCTGAACACAGTGAGGCTTACTTCAAAATAAACACACAGAGAGTCAAACTACCTAGGAGAGAAGTGATCTGCTTCCAGCTAAATCTGGCTTGCTCATTTGGTGAAGGAAAAGTTTCTTTGAAAATATGTTACTAAATAAAAATCTTGG